CACTAAATGTTTCAGTAATATTTTGTGGTCAGATTTAATAGTTCTGGTGCCTAGAGGTGAAGTATTTTAAGGGTGACAAGACTAGAATATAATGAATGGCCGCATTTATTAGGTATATCATATAGCACTTGAATTCTTCACATATGTCATCTCATTAAATCTGCATCTCATCGAGAAGAGATAGATGTGATTACTTTTTCCATTTGTGAAGTACTGATGAATACTTGAGTCATGAACAGTGGGAGTAAAGAAGGAAAGAAGAGAAGGAAATAAATTGCAAAAACTGAGAACCAAAAGATAAATTGCAGTATGACCTCAAAAAAGAGAAGCGTCAAGCAGATAGCCAGATTTCTTTTTTTTTTTTTTTTAATTTTTTTTTTCAACGTTTATTTATTTTTGGGACAGAGAGAGACAGAGCATGAATGGGGAAGGGGCAGAGAGAGAGGGAGACACAGAATCGGAAACAGGCTCCAGGCTCTGAGCCATCAGCCCAGAGCCCGACGCGGGGCTCGAACTCCCGGACCGCGAGATCGTGACCTGGCTGAAGTCGGACGCTTAACCGACTGCGCCACCCAGGCGCCTCTGGATAGCCAGATTTCTAATATAAGACACAGGGTGGATATATGTCCCATCATATGAAAAGACAAAGATTATATGATAAGGAACAAACTCAATGGAGAATAATAATACATTCATTTTGAATCTGGGGGACAAATCTATTTGTATATATATTTGCATACATATATCTAGGTAGGCATGTCATATGCTTCTGAATATCTGAGTTGAAAACAGAAGGAAAATGATAGGAATAGAGATAAATGTTAGTGATGTTAATGGTAGTTTTAACTATGGGAGTGTACAAAATCCCTTACAGGATACATTAAAAGTAATAATAGCCCCAATAGAACAAGTAGGACCTTGAAGACTCCCATATTGATGGAATAAACAGAAGAACCCACAAAAAGACTAAGCAGAAATCTTGTCAAGGGGATGGAGAAGAAATGCTGGGAACAAGGTTAAAGACTTATGTCAAATGTCTAGACTTCTGAGTACATGCCTAATCATCCAGGTTAAATGTAATAGAGATCCAGTAAGATGTAGACTGAGAATGGTCCATTGGCTTTGGTAATTAGAAAGCAACTGCCCATTTTACTACAGTGGTAGAGCAAAAGCCAGATTTGAGAGGTTGAGAACTACTCATGCAAGAATACAAACTGCAAATACAGATCACTCTACTGAAAAGTATGTTTGTCATGGGAAAAGTATGAATTTCTCTAGTTTCTGAAGCCTGAGAAGGTTTGAGGGTCAAAAGTGAAGGAACTGCTCTCAAAGAAGGAGGAGCTGTGATAAAGGATGGAGAAGAGCCCAAGAGCAGGTTATCTGGGATAAGACAAAGGTCTTGCTACACACAGCAAGGTTGATAGAGTAGAATCCTACTATTTAGAGACTAAGGGGGATGGGCTAAGGGGGTTAAGGAAGAGTATGTGGTCATGTAGCCCTTTCTGCTCTATGACAGAGGTGACAAGGTCATTTGCCCAGTGAAGGTTGGAGATGGATAAGGACTGGAGAAAAGAGGATGTTTGAGAAGACTAAAAACTGTGTGGAAAGACTGTTCTGAGCCATGCTAGGGTCCTTGGGTATGCAAGTAGAAGGATCAATGCCTAGACAGAAATATCTATTGGGAGGATTAAATGAGAAAAAATATGAAACGAACTGTCACAGTGCTTTGCATATTGTTGGTGCTCAACAAATACTAGACCTAGACCTACTCCAGTCTACCAACACAAAAGTGTCACAGGATCTCTGAGACCTATGAAGTGGGACAACACATGATGTTCCTTCCATGGGAAAATGTTGTCATATATGTACATCTGTAGAGATGGATTCACCCACTTATATGCATATACACTCTCTCTACAGCTTTCTTTCATTCCGTTGAAAGCATTATAATGTTAAATGGTAGGATGGGAAAAATAATACCTTTCTAAATGATGGAGCTAAAATAAATATGGATTTAAGTAGATTATTTTAAATAATTTCAGTAATAGCTATTATTAATCGGAAATATGGACTTTTCATTAGGAATTTCAAAAAGGTAAAAACTGATAGGAAACATTGATATGAATGGGTTGAAGACAGCCAGTTTTAATACCTCAAAACTAGTTCCAGGGGGTGCCTGGGTGGGCTCAGTTAAGTGGCCAACTTCAGCTCATGTCGCAATCTCGCAGTTCATGAGTTCAAGCCCTGCATCGGGCTCTGTGCTGACAGCACGGAGCCTGCAGCCTGCTTTGGATTCTGTGTCTCCCTCTCTCTCTGACACTCCCCCCGCACATATTCTGTCTCTCTCTCTTTCTCAAAAAAAACATAAAACATTAAAAAAAAAAAAAAAAAACCTCGTTCCTTTTGATGACTTTAGAACTTTAAGAGATTATAAAAATGACCCTACTTGTACCTCTTACCTGCAATTAGCAGGGACACTGGGCTATTGCTACTTCTCCAGATAAATGCTTGTCATTTCCTTCTTTCTCCATGCCACCCATAAAAAACAAGATTTAGGGGTGCCTGGCTGGCTCAGTCTGTAGAGCATGTGACTCTTGATCTCAGGGTTGTGAGTTCAAGCCCCATGTTGGGTGCAGAGATTACTTAAAAAAATAAAATATTTTTAAAAACAAGATTTGTTTCTATATTACTGTATTTATTACTAGGAATTTTATGGTTTGTTTTCTTCAAAGTGGCTTATATCCCAAAGATTAGATTTTTATATGCTTAACTCTACTATTCTTTGTCCCAAATTCTAATAGAATATTATTTATTAAACTTAAAAAACATCTGTTTTTTCCTTTTCATTAATCAAGTCCACTGCTTAACAACAGAATGTACACTATTCAGGCTATGTATTTTATTCAATCTGCTACTATCCTGAGTTAGAATATTCTGTTTTTGTAAACTTAATTTATTTAAATGTATGCTGAAGGTTGCTGAAACAGAAACCTGGGCTACAAGCTCTACAAAGCAAACTGCCTAGAAAATCAAGTTAGACAGGAACTACAATATGCAAATTACATTTTAAAACTTTTCTGCATGATCTTTTAAAAAATTTACAGTTCTATTTTTCTTAATTCTCACAATATCTTCTTACTCAAATACACAGTTAACAATTATATGAGAGAAATATATTAGCCTTTGAAAATTATCTAAGTGAAAGATTTTTAAATATAGATAACTTCATACTTATTTATAATTAAACAGCATTTTAATATGCCAATTTTCATCATTTTTCCCAAAGGAATTGATGCTCAACAGTGTTGAGTGAATGGCTGAATAAGTGAATTGTTTGGGCTGGGAATCCTAGCTGGGCTTATAATACACAGTTTTATCCAGTTATCTCAAAGGGGTAAAAAATTATCCTAATAAATTCTCCACTTAAACATTTAATAGCACAGGGGCACCTGGGTGGCTCATTTGGTTAAGCGTCTGATTCTTGATTTCAGTTCAGGTCATGATCTCAAGGTTAGTGAGTTCGAGATCCACATCAGGCTCTGCACTGACAACACAGAGCGTGCTTGGGATTCTTGCTCTCTACCTCTGTCTCTCTCTCTCTCTAAAAATAAATGAGCACTTAAAAATATTTAATAGTACATTGAAAAGATTAAAAAGACAAAAATTTCACTTAAGAGCTGTCACCAGCTTGACAGCTAATAAGTCAAACATGCCCTCACAGTTATTGCATAAACTCAAGCTTTTCTGTTTATTTTTTATTATTTTGAATGTTTAGATGGGGCACATACTCTCCAGTCTATGGTAGGCTCCATCATCCCTCTTGTCTGAGACAAGACCTAATTAATAAATCCTTGTTATCTGCTTGGCCACTTAGCATTTGAATCTGGGATCTTAGATCTCCTAGGAAGGCAAAATGAACAGATGATCTTGTGACATTATGATGTGTAACCACCTTTTGGATTTAGAAACATTTTATAGTTAACACAAAGCCACAGGAGGGGTGCCTGGGTGGCTCAGTTGTTTGAGTGTCTGACTTTGGCTCAGGTCATGATCTCATGGTTCGTGGGTTCGAGCCCCGCATTGGGCTCTGCACTGACAGTGAGGAGCCTACTTGGGATTCTCTCTCTCTCTCTCTCTCTCTCTCTGCCCCTGCCCCTGCCCCATCTGCGTGCACTCTCTCTCTCTAAATAAATAAATAAACTTAAAAAAAAAAAGCCACAGGAAAGGAAAAAAGGAAAATTTAACAAAACCTAAGTTAGCAACAATATAAAGTAGAATCCATGACACTGGAGTCATGATACATTGTAGGAATAGCCCTAGTAAAGAAATTATAATCCTATTATTATCTACCAGCTTGGAAAGAAGTGAAAAGAAACCTAATTTTGGATAGTTTAAGTTGCTTAGTCACACTGTTTACATCTTATTGCTTGTATTAATAATGTAAATTTATTAATAGTCTATTAAATCTGGGTTGGTCCATCATAATTAGAATAACAGAATAAAAGGGGATCAGGAGACCAAGAATAAGTATTCAACTACTAAACGTCCTAGTCCAGATCAAAGATAAATTACTCATAAATAACACCTGTTCTCCTCTGATATGCCTTTGCCACCAATATCTCTCCTATCCTTAAAAGCTAACCTGAGCCTTGACTCCAGCACAACTGCTACAACCTAGTACACTGTCAAAGCAAGAGCTCGCCTTTCTCAAAGTGTACTTACTATCTGTATCGGACAACCACTCCTTAACAAAGAGTAACAACAGGTCTACAAATTTCAGTATCAGCAATTTAGCACTTAAATTCAGTACATAACTTAGATTACTGTATTAGAGTATGTTGGTTATTTATAATGCAAAATATTCAATACCATATACATACAATGAACCATCTCTTCAATTATATTATGAACATCCTATTAGTAGAGATAATCTCTAAATTTTAGTCTTTCACAGCTCCTGGGACAGAACAAAATATTGCAGTCCCCATGGTACTGATTACCTGTTTTATTTGCAGGTTGAATTCCTTGAGGCTGAGTCAATTTAGTTTGAGTTTCTGGAATCTGAGGAATGTAGATTTTCTTGGGGATATCAAAATGTTCTGGAAGGCTCAGTTCTGCTGTGTATGAAATGGACTTAGGCTTCTTCAACTTTGAGGTAGTAAAGAGAACACAAGTCTGCAAATAAACAATCATTGGAATGTAATTCTCTTAGCCTTTACCTCCAAAACACACACAAAGAAGCATTTTATACTTAGACCCCTTATTTGTGAAAAAAAAATCCACCAACGGATTAATTAGTTCATTTCTTTAGACACAGTATTATTTAAATGGTGGAAGAGAACACTAACATGTTTTATACAATCAGTGGAATCATCCTTTATTAAGACATGCTCAATGCCCCTTGCTGTAATCCTTTCCGTATTGAATTCGTTGCTACAGGGAAAAACCAATTCCACTGGTGAATGGCATTGAAAAAGTACTTTCTTCCTTGAGTTGATCCCTGTGCTGCTTAAAATCTAACCCATCAGTTCTAGTTCTTATGAGAACTACAGTTAGGGGTGCCTGGGTGACTCAGTTGGTTGAGGGTCTGACTCTTGATTCTGGCTCATGGTTGTGAGATCCTGACCCCTGTTGGGCTCCCTGCTGGGTGTGGGGCCTGCTTGGGGTTCTCCCTCTCCCACTTCTTCTGTCCCTCCCCTGCTCATTCTCTCTCTCTCTCTTTCTCAAGAAAAAAAAAGAAAGAAAAAAAACATGATCCCCTCTCTTTTGCTAATGACAATTTTGTAAGTATATGTGCATGTACATATACATATCTGTATATTAGGTCCTGCCCCTCCATAGACACCCAAACCTACCTTTTTTTCTTTCTCCCTCTCCCATTCCAAACATACATTTTACACATGTTTGATATTTTTAGTCCCTTCAGCCACTTCTTATATAATGGGGGTGACAACAACTCACCATCATGCATATGATCCTCAAAACACAATCTAGTTCAATACTGTCCTTCCTAAAATGGAACACTGAAGAGAAAGCTGGCTCTCTAGGTGTGAACCAAGCAATGCAAAGCACAGAGGTAGGTGATCATTTATTTTTATTTGGATGCTCTACTGCTAACATAGCACAACCCAATGGTTAGACCACGCACGCTTAAAGGCAGAGTAACCTGCATTTATAACCCAACTCTAAATAAGTTTGGTCAGGCTATAACCAAAGCCACAAAGCCCTCATTTGTAAAATATGGGCAATAAAAGTACACACTGCCTATCCCTGGTGTGAATATTTAAAATGAAAACAAAATCCAGGTCCTTGGAACATATTTTGGGTACTCAGTAAATGTTCGCTATTAGTAGCATCACTGTCATCATCATTATCATGATCCTGGTCAGAGTATCATTACTCGACAAAAATAAATGTTAGTGCCATCAGCAATCTTCTTCATTCACCGGGTTTGTTATCTATAAACTCCACAGGAATTTTTTTTTTCTACAAAGTGACATTTTTCAACTACTTTATTTTGGAAACTAAAATCACGTCAATTAAAAAACAAATTAATTCATTTACATTTATCATTGTTGGTGTTTGGTTCATTTTTCGAGTCACTGTGAACAAATTATTCACATCAGCAATTAGCTCTTTAATCTAAATGTATATCATCTGCCTTCTGTATCTTTAAGTCATTGAGTCATGGTATATTGACATAGACTCTCTTCTTGGCCAAACTCTAGTCAGAGTCCTCCAAGCCCTTTACTCAGTAGGCCTCAACCTTGGCCTACAATAACTGCAGACTTTCAGTACAAATGATTTTTTCTGCCTATCCCCTTCCCTCCCACACGCGCATGCACGCGCACACACACACACACACACACACACACACACACACGTAGACTTGAACAAGCACTGACATAGTTTCGAACAATTCAAGGCCATAACCCTTGGATGATCCCACTTCCCCTTAAACTGCCTACCTTGGGCGCCTGGGTGGCTCAGTCGGTTAAGCGTCCGACTTTGGC